TGCTTAATGACTGGCCCATAATCGGCTGTTCAAGTGTCAGCCTGGCTGCCAAGGAGGCTATAATTAGCCTCCTTGTGCTTTATTTTATTTAGATTATTGCACACCATTTGACTTTAACGCACGAAAGGACACTAGCCTTCCCTCTCTATCGTTCTGTATTGGCCCCATTGAGAAGCCATTTAGGACGATAATGGTCGAGAGGCGGACAACGAAGGCGTCAAGTGGCACATTGCGTATGCGCAACGTTTACATCTTTTGGGGCAAAGTCGTTGGGGCACGCACGCGACGCATAATTCATAAAGCTATAAAAGTGGAGGGCCAACATGAAACGGCAGCGCAAAACTTTCAACAATAAACTGCGGAAACTCGGTAAGGAGATTATAGTGGGTGATATTTTCAGGACCTTACCACCCACCCACCACCAAAAAAAAAGGTAAAATAAAATATAAGAAAATATGAAGCAATCAAACAGACAATAAATGAAGCAAAAGGAGTCGCATCCAGCCTGAGAAATGCAATCAAAGCAAAAAGTAATCTCGGCGATAAGTGCGAAAACGTGTCAAATGACAGGATAAAGGATGCTCCTAAGGAGCAGGGGGCGTGGCTGCAGCTGACACGGAGCAGCTTGCCCGCATCACGGCAGTCAATAAAGCGTAACAATATTTGGCGCATTTGGAGTGGGCGGTCGAAGTGGCGGCGTGGCAAGTGTGGGTGTGGCAGCCGAAAAACAGTTGACAAAATGGCAACGACAGTTGGAACGGCAATATGAAAATATTGTAAATGCAAAAAGTTGAGCAGAAACTTCAACAAGGCCAGGGGGAAGTGAGGAGAGAAAGGGTGAAGAACAGGTGCTTCTGTTATGTTTGCCGCCAGTTTGTTTGCTTTTTGTGTTTGTGTTTGAAGCAGCCTGTGGCAAAGTTTCCTCCAAAAAAAGTTCTGAAGCTCGAATTTCTAGAGAGACTTTTTTTGGTCTGGTTGTTTTGGGCAGGCCAACGCACATTTTTTGACGCATTAGCACGCGTACGTCTCCACACACACCCATATCTCAGCATCCCCAACTCGTTACAGGCCTCAAGAATGCCATTTCCCTGTGTATTACAGACACACACATCGTTGTGGCTCACGCACACCACTTGAAAATCGACTCAAATTTCCATAATGTCTGCCATGAAAATGCGATCGATTTTCGAGGGGTGTGAGGTGTGGGAGGCAGCGAATAACTGAGGGGAAAAAAGGACATAATGCTGCGGGCGTGTGTGTGCGTGTGCTATGAATATCTAAAAAAAAAGCAGCACTCATGGCCAAAAAAAGCAGAAGGGCGAGCAAAATAGCAAAGTCAGGTCATTGGGCGAGTGTGTGGGCGACTAATGGCCTGAAGCAACCAAAAAATAAGCTGGAAGCCAAAGCTATATATAAATACTTTCACAGATATAGATACATATGTATGATGGTCTCCTTACAAATGCGCTTTTAATGGCAAAGGATTCGCAAATGCCTGCAATCAAACAAAATCGCGGGCCGAGGATGCTTGACAAAATGCTGCCTGATTGCTTTTCCTTCTCCAGGACCTCCAAGATAGAACCTTCAGCTACCTCCCTACCTCCGTCAATCACCCAATCAACCTGATGGAAATTCCGCCCAAGCGAAATGAAGATTGATGGATTTTCAGCATTTGTCACTCCTTTGTACTCCACCTCCCACTGCCAACCACCAGGCGGAGCTAATAAGTCGCAAAAATATTTGGTAAACGGCAATGAAACGTGTTCGCCTCAAAAATTTCCAACAAATTTACATTTAATATGACAAGTCGGCGTTGACGTGCTTGGAAAAACTTTCCAAGCCCATATATCAAGTGTATCCCTGACAGAATGGGAACAGTAGGGGTCGCACCTGACTGGAGCTGGAGCTAGGGAAAAACATGAGTTCATGCCACTAAAAGCACTCGACACTTTGGCAAATTAGTGATATCATTAAATCAGGACAGAGAGAAAGGATGAGGCACCGGGAACCCATTAGCCTGAATTGGCGGCTGACCAAAGCATCAGCAGCTGCGGCTCATATGACAGGCCATCTGTATATCCATATATATCCCTTAGATATATATACTGATATATATAGAAAGCACACACTGTCCAGTTGACTGACATATTGACTCACTCGCACAAAGGGAAAATCCAATTCCAGTTGAAGCTCTGAGCTAAGCAGCTCAGCGACAGACTTTCGCCCGTGGCCGCATTGTGGTCTGTCGCTGTAAACCATTTTATAGGCAAATCGATTTTTGTCTAAAGTGCCACAAACACGCACTGCCGCAGCAGCAGCAGCAACAGTAACAGCAGCAAGGATAACAATACAGGATCTGAGGCAACAAGAACACAAGAGAAGCCAAAGGCAGTGGAAATAACAATAACGCGAATGGACTTTGTCTGAGGGTGTATTAGTTTAACAACTGGCACTTGGGCAGCACAGCAAAAAATTTAAATGATAAAAACTATAAGACCTATCTTGAAAATTTATAAAATACCTATTAGTTTTATAGAAAATAGGGAGTAAAGAGCCAATATATTTCAATGAATATATTTCAAGAAAGCTTTCACAAAATTCAACAATTTTCTATTTCTAATTTTAGGAAAAGATTCTTGTTGGACTTTCTACTAGCTTTAAATCCTCCAAGCCCCAAAGGATTCAAATTTATCTTAATCTCTTGAATTCCATTATAGCTTTAAACTGGAAAGGAAGCCTTTGTTTTCCCGCTCCACCCGGCAGCATCTTATTTAGGCAAATTAATGAGCCTCATTCTCAGATTGATGTGCTGCAATTATGCGCCCCGACCAAGTGGCATGAAGCACTTAACGCACTGATTCTGATTAAGTGGACGCAAACATGAGATGTGAAGCAGCAAATGCGAATGGAAGAAAGCGAGCGAGGAGGATCCAAGGATACGTCCTGTAGGACCCGAAACATGCCTGAAAAGCAATCGGCAGACAAAGAGGTAGACCGACCGCACAACTATCACTCAATGCGGTCAGCTGGGGTGTCAATCAAGGCGAATGAATGCCACTGCCAATGGCAAGGGGTTCTGGGGTGGTGTGAGGTGGGTGGCTATCCCTGTGTCCTCGACCTGCACCCCTTTCTCCCAGCCTTCTCCGGCTTTCTTCTCTTTAATGAACGCTTTGACAAAGCCTCAAGTGCGAGGACGGCGACAAACGACAAACGATGTGGCCCCTTCGAGGACTCTGGCCTCAGTCTGAGGCCGCAGGACTAAAGACACAGGACGATACAGGCCCCGTCTTTGTCTTGGCGCCTCAAGTGCTGGATAATGAGTTTGATTCTCGGTGCAGCGATTGCCCTCGGCATTGCGGCTACGATTGGGTCTACTGCAGGACTGGGGCTGCCAACTAACTGCAATGTAATTAAAGGCACGTCAATGCCGCGCCCATTGACTGGAATTTAAATCGAAGGACTCTGAACTGGCTCCTGGAAAAATTGGATATTTTATCTCATTAATACAAGGAGCACGTATTGAACACAAACAAGGAAGACCCTGGTTCTTTAAAAATTTAAAATTGACAGTCCTGTATCAGTTTCACAAAAAAAGGTAGAAAGTTTCAAGCAGCAAGCCTATGGAAAAATAAAAGAAGCTACTGAAGCTTTTGTTGTTCTTTAAATAAAAACCTAAAGAACATTTTTATAAAAGATATTGGATCATTTCTCAGCTTCATAATAGACAGAATTTTTCATAGAAAAGTAAAACAAAATATTTCCCAAGAACTTTTAAATTTTATTAGAACCCTTTATAGATCTTAAATATTTTTTTAATAGAATATGCATATTGTTAAAACTCGACATCTTGTCTTGACCTTTTTAGCAGTGTTCTTGGCCATTTCTTCGTTTTTGCCATTGCTACCTTTTGCGCCTCTTGCCGACGATCCTACTAATGAGAAAAGTTGGTAATGTTTTCCTTTTATTCCTGCTCCTTTTTGGCCATAATTAAAGGGTTGTCTGGGCCGATGCCCAGAACCAGTTGCCTCTTGCCTCTTGCCTGGCTCAATTCATTAGCAATCTGTAAACGTGGCCAATACAAATGGCAAGTGACTTGCGGTTAAACAATCCAAAATCATAAATCACGGGCAATTAGGAGGAATACTCGTTCCGTCTATGACTCAGAGGACATGGCTAACATATACACCCAGGCACACCACCACATGTAGCAATATCAATAACTTAATTAAGATAAATGCGAATTGTATATAGCCAGTAGACACACTAACACTCCCATAAACCAACAGTCACACATACAAGCATAGAAAAGGACGATTGGCCGTTACAGGGCGTTGATTTCCGTTAACGGGTTACACTTAAGAAAATATTTGTTATAATTTGTTAAATTAGTTTTAAAATAATTAAGTATTCTTTTTATTTCTCTTGAATATGCGCGGTTTTGTTTATAAATATTTCAATAAATACAACTTCTTGAAATATATTTTTAAGTGTACCTGTAGGCTGCACTTGTTGGGCCCAACCTACTGGATTTCCTAGCCTGGGAACACCGGTACGCATTAATGCGACGCGTGTTCTGCTTGTTTATGTTCCGCCAACAACAAACACACACACAGCACACACACAATTAATTTATGTATATCCCACTATGTTTGGGTGGGCGTGGCAGGCCCCTCAAGTAAGTCCATGTCCATGTCCAATGTGAAAAATGGATAATTAGTTAATTGCGGTACGTGGCAGGCAAATATGAGGAGGGTGTCTGGTCGGGGATTTATGTATTTTAGTTATTAATTAAGTGCGCGCTGCTGTTAATCTGTTTGTGTAGTCGCAATTTCCTAGATCCTTGAATATAAATGGAATAATATCCGAGGGATATTCCCGGTAATAAGAGAACTTGAGAAGATGGCTTTGTTATCCGAGAAGTTTCCGAAAATGGATGATAGAGTTGTGTACTAATGTTTGCTAATGAGTTTCTGTGTGAATAAGATTTTAGCTCTACTTACTTGATTTTTTCCCAAATCTCGTCGCCAAAATGCTTGAGCACCAGCAGCTCGAGGGCGTAGTTAACAAAGCCATACTGTGAGGGGAAAAGAAAGCACAGGAACCGATTAGTACTTATGTATGTACGTTTATTTTTATTGCATCTCTTAAATAAACGTCAATAATTTTATAGTATCTACTGGAGACTGGACTCTCAATTGGCATCGTTAAAATCTGTACAAGTCCAGCAAGAAGTATCCTCTGGACTTTAATTGCACTCCCAGGCGGGACAGGCAAGCCTTGATTCAAGTCAATAAATTTGAAAATATGCGAAATCAATAGGTATTGCGCATTTTCATTTTCCTTTTCATTTTCATTTTCATGTCGTTTTAAATGTATCCGAAAAGCAATCAATTTGATTTGTTGTGCGAAATCAAAACCCAATACAGGACGAAGGGATAGCAGTGAGCAGTGAGTATAGAAACACATACCAACGGTATCCAGATGCGTAGCACAATCAATCGCTTCCGCCGGAAGTAATACTAAACAAGCAAAATACTTGAGATATATTTACATACATTACGCATACGTCTAGTTGGCCACACACGAGGCAACGGCTCCTGCCAGCTCACTGTGTTTGTGTTTGTGTCTGCCACTCTTGCTGTTGCTTTTGGAATTTTATTTTTTCTGATTCCTTGCTGGGGTTTGTGCTTTTCTGCTCGGCTGTCTGATGAAGATGTATCTAACCGATATTTGATGTTTATTGCCTTCGGTGGGCACATTGAAATGTTGTAGCATCGCCTGGCTGCCGCCACACCCCCGTGTGAGTAGGGTATTGGAAAAAAGGAAAATCATTGCGAATGAGGATGTTGGAAATGCTGCGAAAATCGCAATCATTAGATCAACATTTCTCTGCATATGTCAACACAGGTGGAGCCAGTTGATGCTCTCCGAAGGTTTACAAATAAAACAGCACAATCTGATTGAGGTGGCTTTGAAGTTTCTTCTACAAATTAAACCTTAACTTACCATTTTGTAGTCACTTTTTTTCCTTCTTGTTGTTAATTGAAAAGCTTCAGGCGCATATCACTCTGAAATCGTACACCAGAATTTAATATTGATATTGCAATTTAATTCATTTTCACTATTTGTCCGTACGACTCGGAAATTTCCACCATCACCCTGCTGCCACTGTGACAGTGAAAATGTAATAAATTTTATTTGTTTACTCAGTTGATATGACTGTTGTGATAAGCGCAACAAAAAGTGTAATGAAAATATCGTAAACACTGCGGTCTGCTAGTATAATTATTGAAATTATAAGAGTGCGATATTGTGGAAGGTATGTTTGTGTTTATGCTTCACTGTTTGCCATTTATGGCTTGGAAATAACAATCGCCACTGCGGTATGAATATTTTATGAATTCTAAAATCGGCTTTGCCATTCATTTGATATTCCTTCTCCTGCTTCTACCCATTAAACAGAAGCTCCCATCGCTTTAAATACCGACACTAATCGAATATTTAAATGAGCGTAAAAAGAAAAGTTCGCCCAAGTGGCCCCAATGTTTTCGCCCAAAAAACTCGACAGTAAAAATGTCTGAGGCCACTTCGACTGCAGGGTGGCTGTTACAACTGAATTTTTGTGTGCTATGTATGCGCTTGTTTGTTGCATGCCACATGCAACACGTGCACAAGCCAAAGGCAGAGCACAATAGCCCGCACACACACCGAAAACCGGCGGCCCCCAGCCATCAACTGGGTCACAACGGGGCAAGAAATAAAAGGTGCTTGGAATTCGCCAGCCAGAATTTGTTATCCCCTGCAACCGCAGAAAATCGAACAGAAATTTTTTCCACCTGGGATATAATTCAAAACTTTGGAGGTGTGAGAAACTTTGGAGGTGTTATTTTCCAAAAAGGCTTTTTAAACTCCTTCCTCTTTAAGGAAGGATTTTAAAATAAAATATTTTAAAGGTGGCAGTCGAAACTTAAGGCTACTTAAAGATAAAATTAATTACTATAAGTACCCTTGCAGAAACTACCAATGCCACAATTCAAGGATTCTTTTGAGAAGGGTATATAAACGTGTCTAGAACAGCAACTTGGCAAGGCAGCAATGGCCAAAAGCAGTAGAAATGGCAACAAAGGATGCATACGGCTGGTTAATTACATAAACACACACACAATCAAGTGTCTAGTACACACACCTGTTCAGGTGAGTGTGCGAATGAGCGAGTCTCGAAATTTATGCGCCACGACGAGTGCAGGGCAATTAAGGCATTTCGAACGTAGAACTGCGAACGTGGAACGTTCAACGTTGAGTTTTCAACGGAGTTCGAGTTAGGAAGTTGAAAGTCGTCTGTGCTGGCTAGAAAAGGGGAATCCTTTGGCGCCTTGGGGCTTGGGTCGTGGGCCTTGGAAAGATTGGCAGAAACGAGCGGCACACAAAATGGCAGCTCGGGGAGAACCATATATATGTGCGACTTGGAGAAGTAAAAAAAAAAAAAAACAAAAAGAGCAATTGAAAAGGAAAACTTGGCCTGCAGGATGGCGATAAGTTAAAGCAAGAATCTGAACACTTGAAAGGGATTTTCATCCGACCCCATCCGCAACAAATTCTACACTTTAAGCCAACTCCAGGCTCAGGTATTTTGCTTTAAATAACCCGTGGGGCGAAAAATCGATTTTCGTCCATCTTGTCAGATATTTTTGTAGGCCATTAAAAGGTGTCTCCCCGTATATATGTAAGCCCTCTAAAATAATATGGCAGGTATATACAGCCTGTTTATTTAGCCATATGTATATTATTGTTTAACGTTTTCCACCCCCCAAACAGAGTAGGGGGGCTGGTGTTTGTTTATTACGATTACTGGAATACGGCGTATTAATCAGTAGAAGTGTATTCCACCGAGAGCAGGACGCTATTTGCGAATGACCTCGGGCCTGGGAGGATCCCTGTTCCAGTTCAGGTTCTGACATCCTTCCAATTGAGCGAATTTTAATTACGTGCAACATTTGGCATTTTGATAACGGTAACGGTAAGGGTAAGGGCACTGTCAACAGAAGTGGCAACCAAGGTCCTTGTGCTATTTTCGTATCGAGAAGCGAGAGACAAGAGTGTAAATAAGACTTGATTCGAGGGGCTTTGCATTTGTTTGGCCTGGCTTATAAGGAGACCGAAAAGTTTCGGAAATATCTTGAAATTGAGTGCCATTTGTCACTGGCGGAATAAAGCTATTTGGCGATGACGAGCGCACCATTTAATAATTGCGACAAAATGACGCTCCCTCCGATCCTAAAAACCGATGAGAAAGTAAAAACAAAACGATATTTGGCTCGGTTGGTTGGAAAAGTTCCCAGCCCAGGGGGGGGCATCGTTCGGCCTGTCAATTTGGCGCTAAACTGACAATAACTGAGTTAATGATGAGCCTGCCATTAGGCAAGGGCACAAAATGAGGCAAAGTACACACAGGACACGGCCACAGGACAGGGCTGCCACGGGACAGCCACAGGATGTGGATGCCATGTCCGCCCCCGGAACAGTTTTTGGAATTGCTGGAGGGTGGGCGCTGTAGGCGAGGCGAGGCATAAAGCAATTGTACATTCAACTCTGTGTCCGCCCGGGCATTTATCAAATATAATGGACATTCACTATCGCCCGGACAGTTGAAACAACTAAAACAACTGTCAGCAAATTGCCGTGGGCACGCAAAGCTAAATGTCTAATAAACTTTGACATATTGAGGCAAATATTTCTATTTGGCAACTTTTGCGGCACGAGTCAGAGTCACACGAGTTACGCCCGGAGTCGGAGTCGCCCAGGACAGACCAGGCAGCAGGACAACATAAATTATGGACCATGGAGAGACAATGATGGCGTGAAATATCTGCCAGGGTACCGAAATAAATTAGAGCGCACAAAAGTATGCTTTAATATCCGAGAGGCCAAGTGGAATGTGGCGGGTGTCGTTGTATGGGTTTTTATTATTGCTGGCATTGTTCTCAGTTCTCTGGGCCAGATATCTGCCAGACGCCAAACAAAAAATAAAAACACTAATAACACAAACAGAAAATAACAGAAAAACGAAAAAACCCGAAAAAACATACAAGTGCGGGTGTGTGGGTAAGTAATTTACATTTGTTTGAAGCGCGCGTTTCTTTTTTATTCAGCCGATTCCCCAGGCTTTTGTTTATTCGCAACTTGTGATTTATTTGCTCGGTATTTCGGTTTCGTTTACGCTTTCGCTTTCACTCCCGGCCCCCGCGATTACTTTCCACTTTCACTTTGGCCGACTCTTGATAAGAAAGTCTCACGCGCGAGTCTCTAGGAGTCTTCTCAGTCAGTATGTGAAAGTCCCGGAGTGCCACACAGTCCGTTGGTTTTATGAATCCGCCGGAGCACTCGTTCCGTCCGTTCGGTTCGTGAACAATTCGCCAGTAACAGCCGTCGACGACTGAACCCAGAGTGCCTCGTGCTGCCGTATTAAATGCGGCTCAGAAAAGCCAAAGCCAGGCCAGGCCAGGCCAGGACACTTGTCCTGGCTGTTCAGGCTCCCCAGTCGTCTCAGCTGCCTCGGTCGCCTTTTGTCGCCTGCCAATTGCCTGGTCCACTCAGCTGTTTGTTGTAGATGGTCGTCGGGAAAACGAGCGGGCGGAAAAGCTGTCGGGAAAAGCTCTCTCTTGGAGGTCCTCCTTAATGGCTCTATCTCGCTCTTACTTGTTTCGCTACCCGCCAACAGATGGCTTTTCAAATGGTTTAAATAGGATATGTATGATTTCTTAAAAAATATTTAAATAACATTCAAAAAGCACAATTTTATATGAAATTACTATATTTAAAAATTATCCTCTTCTTCTTATATCATTGTTTTAATTATAGAGTTTTCTGGATGCAAAAAACCTACATATATATTAGATTTTAGTATTTTATTTATGAGTCCAAATGAGTGTTATTTACATTTACACAAGCATATTTACATAAATCTAGCACTAAATCATTTTCAGAAGATTCAAGATTTAACCCAGAATTTATCCTCAATTTACCTTATCCAAAAACTTATTTATCCTGATATTGTAACCTCGTAGTTTTAATTCTTTTGGGTTCAACTTGAATCAGTCGCTCAATTTTCCTCTGCATTTATTTGCTTTGCATTCACTTAGCCCTCACCCACTGCCAACACCACCGGGCTCACTTCCGTTTCCGGCGTTATTTATTGCCGGCTTTATTTACTTGCCTGCTGATTTTTGTCAACTCGCAGGACTCAGTCATGGGGGCACGCATAATTTACCTACGACAATAGATTTTCGGGCAGCTCCAGTCAAGCAGATGAACATTTCAGCGCCCCCAGCATTGGCGGCAAATAAATTAGAGCCACTTGCATCGCAAACAGCAAACAGAATTCTTGTACAGAACAGTAATTGAAATTGAATGGTACTGGGGTGAGATGGGTGGTGCTACACCACTGGGGTGGTGGGCTGGAAAATGTCTGCCAATGGGGCGCATTGGGGCGTGGCTAAACAAGCACCTGTTGGGCAACCCTAGACACCACACTACCGTGGAAGAGCAGCTGGCAAAGTGCACTGGTTCGACGGGTGTCATTCGGATATTCATGTGCGCTTAAGCGGTGCATAAATTAATTACTCTTCGCACAAACATAATTAAACGCATTGTCCGACTTTCAATTGTGCTGTTGGCTGGCTTTTGGTACTGTTTTAATTTCGCACAAAGGTCGAAAGAGCATTCGGCCACAAAAACAATAACACTAACCGATTCAGATACAGAAACCGCCGCACACT